GTGGAACCGGGGATTGAACTCAGGTTCCTGAGCTTGCCAGGCAAGTGCTTATTCCACTGAACTATCTCCCTGGCTCCAGGAATAGCTGTATTTTAATCTGCTGTGGCTGCCCTAACAAATTGTCAAGACTGGGAGGCTTTAACGTAGTTGTATATTTTCTCTTGGTTCTAGAGATCGGAAATCAGGCTGTTCGCATGGTCAGGATTCTCTCCCTTCTTTGCAGACTCCTACCTTAAAACAGACTGGTGGAGGTAGCACTTACCCTCTTTTTTTATATGGGCACTAATCTTGTCACAAAGGCCTCACTCTCATGAGCTGATCTGATTATTTCCCCAGAACACCATTTCTAAATACTATTGTGTTGTAGCTTAGGGCTTTCATGTACCATTTTGGGGAGAACAAAAACAGCATTTTTCATAATGAGGTGTGATTCATTTTGATAGTTTTGTTTCATTTTAACATATTTATTGTTAAAATAGTTGAGACATTTGACACTTTTTCTCATTTCAAAATCTTGTGCATATTTACACTTACAGAATTCTTCATTTCCTACTTGTTGCATTTCAGTTATTCTAATCACAGTTGGCTAGTGTCTACTGAAGTGGACAGCATAGGCCCAGAAGGCATTTATGGTGTAGATCAGTGGCTGGTTTGTTCTGCAGTCTTTTGTGATATGTGTGGAACATTGTCCTTGTCTTTGCATTGCAGTGGACATCCCACGTATTCTGTATTCTGCAAGAGCTCCTGACAGCTTTCTCTTACTTGGAGTTCAGATTGGATGGCTGGATGGAATGATGTCCTACTTGGAATGTCAGGAGTCTTTGGCCAAATCGAATCTCATCAAATTCTGTTTGACTGTCCTGAGTTCTCATAGGCTGGCCATTCTCTGACACAGAGATGTTTCTTGTCCATTTCCCCAGAGGGGGAACATGGTGTGACCTTCTACCTTCTGGTCTAATGTGGTACTAGTTGCGAAGGACATGGACTACAGAGCCATGAACCATGGGTACCCTTCCCCAGGCTGGGAGGGTATCTTCTGCTACTTGCCCTTCTGCCTCCCGGGCACTCGAGGCTGTCTTACTGACTGGATTGCTCTTGGGGAGGAGTGTGTACCCACTCCAGCTCTTAGAAACCTCTCTAAAAGTGTAAGACATTCATCTATTCTGTCTCTGGGTAGATAAGATTGTGAGATCCAGAATCCGTGGTACCCTACGTAGGCTTCTGTAGCATATTCTTTTGTGGGTCTTTATGGGCGTCAACACTCTTCCAAAGCTTCTAGATCTACCCCAGCATGTCACCTAAGTGACACTCTGCAGGATCTCAGTGAAGAACCCCAATCTTAACCTGTGGACCTTTATGCCATGGGCTCCTCTGGAGTCTAAAGAAAGCTGTAAGGGCCTGTGAGATAGCTCAGTGCACTAAGACCACGTGCTGTGCTGGCCCTGCGCCGGACCATGCTGAGCTGGCCATGGAGTCCTGGTGTGGTAGTACATGCCTGTAATCCCAGTCCTGGGGAGGCTGAAAACAGAAGGATTATTAAGAGCTACGTAGTGAGACCCTATACCAAATACATTAAAAAACAAAACAAAAAGCGAGCAAACAAAAAAAGACCCCAAAACTATTACTTTTTCTCCAAGAAACATAAATCACTATTTGTGTGTTCTTGTTCACACTTTTTTTTTTTAAATTCTACTAGGGGACTGAACATGAAGACTTTATGCAGAACTATATCAATTTTTTTTTTTTTAATTGAAAGAAGGTCTCACTGAGTTCCTAATTTGATAGAGCTGGGTTTGAATTTGTGGTCTTTCTGCCTTAGGCTCCCAGAGTGTTGGGATTATAGGCATATGCCACCACACCACGCCTCATGCCATACTCTGTTTTCCATACTGATTGGCGCTCTCCTTTTGAGGTCCTGGCTGTTCATACATAACAGTTGTCTTGAGGGCAAATCAGATGTACATTGGGCTCGTTCCTTCCTGGTTACCTCTCCTTAACCTTATTAGGGCACTGAGCATGTCCTGTTTTTTAGTTTTACACTTGTGATTCCAGCCCTAGTCTCTTCCAGAAGGCCACCTTCTTGAGTACCCATCCATTTAATCCTTTGCTGGGAGGTCAGAGAAGTGTAAGTAGGAGTTGAGGGGCATCAAGCTGGGTAATTAGATCCATGCCCAGGTCTCCTGTCTCCTCTCTTCTCTCCTCAGGCAGGGGTCTCAGGACCCCAGGATAGGAACAGTACTTTTGAAGGTGACTGGTTGGATAGCCCTGAAGCAGGGACCTCCTTCTAGAACAGTTCTCAACCTTTGGCAAGTTGACCTTTTGGGTCTGGTGATTCTTTGTTGTATGGGTGTAGGTGTAGGATGGTGATGGTGGGGCTGTCTTACACTGTGTAGATGTTTGGCAGCATCACTGGCTTCTACCCACTCATTCCAGTAGCTCCTCTCTTGTGACAGCTGAAAATAATTGTATGACATTGTCAAAAGTCCTGGGAGGAGTTAGGAGCAAAGTCACACTCCTGCTGAGAACTAGGGGTCTGAAATGTTCTGCTTTTAAAGAAGCAGATGGTTATGAGAGATGAGAGTAAAGGCTATGAGTGTATATCCAGCTTCCCTCAGATTTAAGGTTGGAGGTTGGATTTCATTCAACTTCCAGAAATTGTCGCAGAACCTCTGTTCAGCGTGTGAGTTTGGTTCAGAATTAATGGTTTGGGTGTACCGCTTGCCATGGAGGAGAATGCTGGCGTCCTTGAGTTTTCCCAGAAGTGGTTCAGGTTTCAGGGAGGCGGCTGTTGTGGGTGGCCGGGCAGCCTGCCTGCCCGCACCCGCCCACCCGGTCTGCCCATTGCCTTGAGCCTGGCACTCACACCTCTCCCTCCTGCACACATAGAATGTCAGGAAGTGCCTGTTTGCCCAGGCCTCTCCGCCTGCCTGGCACCCCCTCTGCTCACCTGGGAACCCCACGATCTGAGCCGAGGCTGACCCTGTCTGCTGAGAGGAGCGCTGGGGTTGTAGCAGGACGCAGGCATGCCCTTTCCCCTGAGTGGGCCTGCTGTGTGGCACTCTGAGGAGCCACAGCGGCTGTGGGCC